ATCCAGGGTTGTAAGAGTTTGAGAATGGGTCGTACCTCCTTTGTTGATGTCCTTGGAAACCCAAGGTGTTGACTTGCTCTATATTGTCTTCTTGAAGAGTTGGGCATGAGTCGGTGGGATGCCCTTGTTGTGTACAAATGCCGCATACCTTGACTTTTTGGGTCTTGGACTTTAAAAGGAAATCCTTAACCAAAGAAGTCAAGCCGGCAACTTGACTCTCCAATGATGATGTTGATTCCACAGCGGCAACTCTACGAGTTGAGGACCGCCCGTCGTAATGTGTAGAGTTCTCGGCCAACTCCGAGATGAGATCTCTTGCTTGAGAAGGGGTCTTATTGACAATGCCCCCTCCACACGCTGCATTCACCTTGCGGCGATCTTGATCCACAAGACCATCATAGAAGTAGAGAATGAGGTCTTGTTCGGTGTATCCGTGATAGGGGCAGCTAGCACATAACTTCTTGAATCTCTCCCAGAATTCATACAAGGATTCACCACCTTTTTGTTCAATGATGCTTATTTGCTTCTTGAGAGATGATGAAATGGAAGCGGGATAGTACCTTTCAAGGAAACACTTCTTCATTTGTGCCCATGTGTTGATGCTCCCCAGAGGGAGATAGAAAAGCCAATCCTTCGCGGTGTCCTTCAAAGAGAATGGGAAGGCCCTCAACTTGATTTGTTCTTCAGTAACACCGTTTGGGCACATACTTGTGCAAATGATGTGGAATTCCGAAAGATGTTTATTCAGGTCTTCTCCTCATAGGCCATGAAAAGATGGGAGTAGATGAATGAGCCCTGATTTTAGCTCAAATGTATTACCCTCGTTAAGTGTAGGGAAGGTAATACATAACAGTTGTTGGTTCAAGTTTGGAGCTGTGAGCTCCCTCAGAGTTCTTGTTTCATTAGCCATGTGGAATGACTCTTCAGATTCGCTAGCACTAGAGCTAGCGTTTGAGGATTCCTCCGAGGGTGTGTGCAGAAATAAATTTCTCAACCTCTCGAAGACTTGTTCTATTTCGGGGTTTGCTTGATAAGTGATCTCGTTTGTTGAACGATATGTAACCATACACTTCACAAAGCTCAGAAATAGAAAAATAAGAACTCCTTATTTTTGTTTATTTTTTTTTTTTTTTGTTTTTCTTGAATTAAAAGAAAAGAAAAATTATTGCCTTTCCCCGGCAACGACGCCAAATTTGACGTGCACTTTGTCGTGGTGTGCACTCAAAGTAATAATACAATACAACAATTATACGCAGTATAATGAAGTAAGGTTCGTATCCACATGGAGAGGAATATTTTTCTTTTTGTAGAACTGGTAACAAAAGGGTTTTTTAGTTTGATTTGGTTTAATTAATTAAACACAAAGATGAACGACTTATGTGGTTTACTTAATAGAGATGAAGACTTGGCTTTGCTTTTATCCACTTAATGAAATGTTCGTCGATCCTGGTTATATCTTTAACTATCTTCCTGTCGAATACTCAATTGAGGAGTATATCCAATTCATCGAGGGTAGTTATTAATAACGAGACGCGTTCATTAATAAAACTTACTACCGAGTTAATATAGAACACACGTCGTATATTAACCTGATAGTAGCAATAAAATCAAGATGAAAACGATTGAGATTGATAACCTCAACACAGGCGGTTTATCGGTTTAATCAATATAATTAATTCCCCTTCGGTTATTAACCATGAGACGCATGCATTAATAACTCAAGTTCACTACTGTGAAAGGACCGAATCAATAACAAGCGTATTAATCAATCGATTCTAGTAATAATTAATGAATGAAACAAAACTAGTTGATCCTTTAAGTAATGCTCAAAATATTAATATGAAATAGGAATAGGAATTAATTAATATTCAAGGAAGAAGATTAAAGAAAATAACTCACAACTTACAATTCATTAAGCTTCAAAGTAGCAAAACCAAGATGGAAGAGTTTAGCTCCTCATTTGGAGACGAAACATAATGAAAATATAAAGAAAGAACTTATCTAGACTGAGCTTAGAAGTGTATAGGAATTGGTTATCTTTTGTGAAGGAAAGGAAGTGTATTTATAGGCTTTTGGGTCATTAGCTCGTGTACCCGATCGAGTACACATAGGGTACCCGACCGGGCATTCCCAGAATGTTGAATTCGAGCTATACTCGACCGATTTCAGTGTTAAACTTATCTGCATACCCGATCGGGTGTGTCGGTGTACCCGATCGGGTATAACAACTGATCGTGGCCAATTCTTCCCCTGCACGTCCCTTTGTTTCCCGAATGGGAAAATGTGCAAATAGGCCCATGTACTAACCAAAAAAGGTCAAATAAGCCCTTATTTAGGAGGTTCTATCCGGCCGACGTCATTTGGGGTGGTTCCCGGTGGAATTTTTTGATGAATTTTTTTGAACATCTTATTCATCAAGTCTAGTTTACTCATATCAAATTTCAGCTAAAACTTCAATCGGGAAGGCATTCAAATGAATTCTTGAAGATAACTGTGCTTCTAAGTGTGCAGTTATTTTCAAGAATTCATTTGAATGTCTTCCCGATTGAAGTTTTAGCTGAAATTTGATATGAGTAAACTAGACTTGATGAATAAGATGCTCAAAAAAATTCATCAAAAAATTCAACCGGGAACCACCCCAAATGACGTCGGCCGAACAGAACCTCCTAAATAAGGGCTTATTTGACCTTTTTTGGTTAGTACATGGGCCTATTTGCACCTTTTCCCTTCCCGAATTGATCTGATTGAAAGTCAAGTGGGTACCCGATCGGTTATAGGGTATACCCGACCGAGTACAGGTCAAAATCATGAACTTTCCTTTTTTGTCTTGTATTCTTGCACTTTCCTTCCTCTTTTGGTCTCACCAATGATCATTTGATTGATCCTGGACATGTTTTAGCTCAGAATAGACCTAATCAAAACAATTTACAACTATTTTACAAACATAACTATTACACCAAAAGTGTGTAATTTTCAAAGCATCAAACAACAAAAACTAACTAAAAACATACACATACATATGGAAATTACAAGTGTATCAAAAGCCAACACTTTTGGCACACTTTTGGCATACTATTTGGAATACTCTTTAGAATTTGTTCACATTCATCACCAATGTTATCTACTGTTCACATAATCAAATAATTATTTTACATTAACTCATTCATAGATACGACAATAATCTTTGTAGGTATACATTATAGTAGTAGGGTATATATTAATAATATACATTAAAATAGTGTATGAAAGTTTTCCTACATTTTTCATAAAATGTTGTCTGTGCATACCGACACGGAGTATGTAAGTTGTCTGTGTATGTCAAAGAAAATACCTCCAACATCTGCGTTTACATCAAATACACCTTCGTAGGTATACATTAACAACTTCCATAGATACATACATGGACTCATTCATAGATACAACATTCATCTTTGTAGGTATACATTATCTCAATGAGGATTTTTCAGTTGTCTGTGCATACCGACACGGAGTATGTAAGTTGTCTGTGTATGTCAAAGACTTGTTTGTAAGTATACATTAACAGCATTCATACATACATTAACTCATTGTACATAGATACAACACTCATCTTTGTAGGTATATGATGTGTACTATTTAGTAGTGCATAAACACCACATTTTAGAATGGTTTTACATTATGTTTACTTAGCTTTTGTACAATTACGGTGTAATCTTTATCTTCTAAAATTAAAGTAGAATTAGAAGATATTAAGATATATTGATATGTAAGCAAAAACATGATGAAAAGAAGAGGAAGGAGCTTGGGAGCATAAGGAAGGAGCATTGGAGACAAGAGGAAGCTTCATGGAGAACAAAGAAATGTGAAAAATCGGATATGATTTGACCCGGAGATCATAAGAGATCAAATAAAGCAAGTGAACATGGGAAAATCAGATTATGTCTTAGACCCAACCACCTCACTTCTCCTATAATAACACCCTTTCCTTCTTATTTTAGATATCAATTAATCCCCTCTTTCATATACACTTTTATTCTTGTAATTTAGGTAGTCTTTCCATCTTGGTTTTGCTACTTTGAAGCTTAATGAATTGTAAGTTGTGAGTTATTTTCTTTAATCTTCTTCCTTGAATATTAATTTTTCCCTTAATACTATCTCTATATTAATGTTGGGGAGTGTTACTAAGATGACAATTAGTTAACATCTCGACATTAGTTAGAGTAGTATTTATTTTCTTCCTCTATACTAATGTTGGGGAGTGTTACTAAAATGACAATTAGTTACCATCTTGACATTAGTTATAGTAGGATTTATATCTTCTTTAATATTCTTCCTTGAATAGTAATTAATTCCTATTCATATTTCATTTTAATATTTTGAGCATTACTTAAAGGATCAACTAGTTTTGTCTCATATATTAATTATTACTAGAATTGATCGATGAATACGCTTGTTAATCGTTCGATCTTTTCACGATAGTAAACTTGGATTATTAATGCATGCGTCTCATGGTTAATAATCTAAGGGGAATTAATTATATTGATTAAACCGATAAACCGCTTGTGTTGAGGTTACCAATCTCAATCGTTATCATCTTGATTTTATTGCTACTATCGGGTTAATATACGGCGCATGTTCTATATTGATTCGGTAGTAAGTTTTATTAATGAACGCGTCTCGTTATTAATAACTACCCTCGATGAACTGGATATACTCCTCGATTGAGTATTCGAGAGGAAGATAGTTAAAGATTTAACCGGGATCGACGAACATTTCATTAAGTGGATAAAAGCAAAACCAAGACTAATTACCTTTGATATTTTATTTCACTCATTTAAGTATTTTATTTTCTTTCTCAATTATCAAAATATCCAATTTCTCCTTCTGTTTACTTTTATTTATTACGCTTACACATACGCGAAAAGCTCCTTTCCCTGTGGATATGAACTCTACTACGCTATATTATGGTATTAGCCCTTAGTAGTGAATTTAATTTGAGGCACACCACGACATTAAATTATAGGGTATATATTAACAACATTCATTGATAAAATCAATTTTTATAGGTATACATTAACAACATTCATACATCAAATACATGTTTGTAGGTATACATTAACAACATTCATACATACATTAATTCATATTTGTAGGTATACATTAACTCATAGATAGATACATTAGTTGTCGGTACACACCGACACTAGTACTGAGTATGTAAGCTGTCTGTGTGTGTCAAAGGAAATACCTCTGCCATCCGCGGTCGTCTTCCCCCTGCTAATTCCTTCCCCGTCAAAGATGTCATCATCCCAGCCGTCAAAGATCAGAACTTCGTTGCCACCTTGTGTCGCAGCTCTACCACCCGTCGCACCTAAGTCTTCATCCCCAACTTTGTCAGGAGCTCCATCTTCTTCATTCAAAAATCCACCATTTCCGTCCTCCGTCGCAGCTCCATCTTGTTCGTTCACAGGTCCACCATTTCCGACGTTTAGAGCTTCTTCGTTTCTTCCATTTCCGAACTCTGTCTTCCGTCGCAGGTAGGAATCGTCCAATGCGCCATCGTTTCCAATCCCATCTTCATCCACCATCAAATATGCTAGAAAATCATCCATGATATTTGCAAAAAAATAAAAAACAGAGAGACAAAAGCGGGAAGAAAGAACGAACAAGGGTGAAGGATGGGAAGAGAAAGAAACGTGCGTAAGGTTGGGGAGGGGAGGGTTGGGCGAGTGAAAGGGGTAAGGAAAGCAGTAAATAATTAGGTCTTATATATGGTGTAACCCAGGGTGTACACCAAGACTTTTTGATAAAAAATACATGTTTTGGTAATTTATAGAAACGTTCAACACTACATCCAATTGTTTTAATGGCACTCTCTTCGGACCTGCTAACCAATGCCAGACAAAGATACAAAAAGTAATGATTCTATCCACTTGGATGGACGTGACCTTTTGTCCAACTGCCGCCTTTGAACGATGAATTTTTTTTATAATTGTTTTTGAGAATTTTCTTCTTGAAATTTAGATTATTTCTATAAAATTTCAATTTAAAATTGAATCAAGAAGTCAATTAAATAATTTATTGAAAACAATTGCGTCAAACTCTATATATAAAATCATAGTGGTTTACAATAATTCTTTTAACGACTTTCAGTTTGAATAATAATCTCAAATTGTATGGGCATAATCTAAAATTCATGAACAATATGCTAAAGAAGTTTCATTAAAAAATTTCATCAAAACAATCACAAATGGCGCCGGCAGGACGGAGGATCCTGTCCAGATAGCTGGACAAGATCTTTTTGCATACATACCATTCTGAGCACCAGCGGCGGACCCAGTGGGGGCCAATGGGCCCCCCATTTTATTCTCCTCGTTATATTTACCCCAAATAGTGTATATGTATTTCTTTGTAGTTTTTTACGCTGTTGCTGCTCCTCCTCCTACGCAAACCTGTGCCCCCGGCTGCTGAGCACTTATACCCAAGTAGCTAGCAAGTGCCCAATTCTAGTGTAACCAAGTTTAGCTAATAGATCACTTTGTCACGGAGTATTTATTCACTGATTATCTTATAAACATAATTCCTTTCATCTTCCTTAATCAATCATCCTCCATGCATATCTTTTCTGCTTTCCTCCTTCTTGCGATGATCTTCAAGGTCTCAAAGCTGCCGCTCAAACATGTTCTCAGACCGCCGGAAACTTCACAGCGAACAACACCTAAGCCGCGAACAGAGCTCTCCTCCTCTCTAAACTGTCCTACAACATTACCTCAAGCTACGGCTTATTCACGAACCCCACTGACGGCCGCGACGCGGACAAAATTTATGGAATTGCCCTTTGTGGGGTCGATTCAACCTCTGAAACCTGCACCAAATGCGTCAATACTGGAACTAAAACCCTCACAGGGAGTAGATCACTTGGGCAACTGAGAAATCCACTCCGTATATTGTGAGTTATTCAAACCGTTACTTTTTCGGGGAATTGGACCTTTCTCCTAACCTGAAAGCTTTTAGAACGGATGTGTTCGAAGCGGATGAATTCGAACCGTTTGAGAAGGTTTAGAAACCTCAAGTCTGGAATTAAATAACTAACTAATGCTTCTAACCTAGGAAGCAGGGAAACTCTTGTAGAGATTACTCTAAGGAAACTCTCTAAACTAGCTTTTTTTGAACAAAAGTGCGCTTTTCTCATTTCCATTTTCCTCATTATTTTCGCGTTTCCGTGCAACATAGCTTCTAACTTTTATAACTACCGAACTCTCATAGTCTCATCTCATCTAGTCTTTTTAGGCATGACAATGGGTCGGGGCGGGGCGGGTACTGCAAGACCCAGACCCGCCCCGTGACTTGGCGGGGCGGGTCCGCCCCACCCCGTGACCTGCACGGGTCCAAACTTGTTGACCCATGACCCGCCCCATGCGGGGCGGGTCCGCCCCGCCCCGCCGTAACCTAATTAGCTAGTATGTATTTTTATTTGTGGGAAGTTGTTACCAATTGAATCTACATAAAGTTTATCTCTAAATAATAATTAAAAATTAATATATTAAATCAAATTCATGATACCCTAAAAATTTCAAAAATTAAGGAAAAATTACTCAGACTTGAATAGTTAATCTATTTGATTATACTAATAATTGAACATATGTATTAAAATGCTATATATAAAGAAGTCATCTCATTCTAATATATGTATTAATATACTTCGTATATTATTAAATCAAAGAATTTATGATTTACTGTATATACAAATATGTATGTTGAAGCATATTTGTAGTATAATTCAAGAAAAAGTATGTATGCTTATGTATTGAGCGGGTCGGGGCGGGTCGGGGCGGCACGGGTCAATACTAATACCCGGACCCGCCCCATTTGGAAGGCGGGGCGGGGCGGACCCGCCCCAAATGTCTCAGGCCAGGGCGGGTAACTGCGGGTCGGGTTTTTTTGACATCCCTAAGTCTTTTCAAGGGAGATGTTTGGAACTGGTCTCCCCCAGCTTAAAAAAAATTGCTTCTAGAAGTGAATTAGAGACTATAAGGTAGTGTTTGCAATCACTTAAAAAAAAGCACTTCTCAGCTTTTGGCTTTAAAAAGCACTTATTTACCAAACACTATCAATTTTTTCTTTTTCTCGGCTTGCGTGTGAAAAGTGCTTTTCCCCTTTCTATTACACAAAAAGCACTTATTTTACCAAACACTATCAACTTTTACTTTTCAAAATCACTTTTTTCTCAAACACTATCAACTTTTCCTACTAATCACTTTTTCCTTACATCTCAAAAAGTGCTTTTTTTTAAGCAGAAGCAGTTGCAAACACTCTCTAAGTACTACTGCACTTTCACTTGAAGGAGCAGAAACAGTTTCAAGAATCAGATCCAAATATCCCCTATATTTGATTTGTTTAGGTTTGATTTAGTCTGTTATAACCAAAGTCTCATTTAGTTTAGTCTTTTTAAATCTAATCTCATTTGTTCCGGGCAACTTTTTACTTTTTTTTTTTACTTTAGTTATTATTGAGACGACTACGTCAACTTAATTTGGAGTTCCATTTCCGCGTCCACGGCTTCCTGGAGGACTCAGAATTCAAATTCAACTCACTTATACTGAGTAGTAATCGGCCAACATCAACAGTCCTAGGCTGCTATTTTCATGTCCAAAACACAAGAAGATACATACCTTCCGAGTGAGCACATTTATCAAGTAGCTAGGTAAGCTAGCAACTATCCAATTTTACTGTAACCAACTTTTGCTCATAGAACATTACGGAGGTCATCTTCCTTAATCAATCAGGACCTCCATGAATATCCCCTCTGTTCTTCTTCACCTTCTTCTACTTCTGACGATCTTCAGTGGTCTTGAAACTTCAGCCCAGACATGTTCTCAGACAGCCGGAAACTTCACAGCCAACAGCACCTACGCCGCGAACAGAGCTCTCCTCTTCTCTGCCCTGTCCTCCAACATCACCTCAAGCTATGGCTTCTTCATGAACACCACAGTGGGCCGTGGCGCGGACAAAATCTACGGAACCGCCCTTTGCAGGGCCGATTCAACCCCTGAAACGTGCACCAAATGCGTGAATACTGGAATCAAACAACTCACAGACACCTGCCCCAACCAAATTGAAGCCATCAATTGGGCGTGGGAGAGCTCCTTTCAGTGTGTCGTTAGGTATTCGAACCGTTCCTTTCTCAGAGAATTGGACCTTTCGCCTACCTCTGTAATGTATAACACGGGCGAGTTCGAAGCGGATGAATTGGAAGAGTTTAAGAAGATATGGGCGAGTCACATCTCCAGCTTGATTGCCAATGCTTCCAGGGAGACGAGGATCAAGTATGCTTCCGGTGAAGCGAGTTTACCGTCGAGCTTTCGGAAAATATACGCCGCGACGCAGTGCACTCCAGATCTATCTCCGCCTGATTGTGACTCTTGTTTGAGAGCCGTCGTGACAGCTTTTCAGGATTGTTGCGGTAAAAACAAAGGAGGATTTTCCAATAATCCGAATTGCATATTTCGCTGGGATCTGTATTCCTTCTACAATACTTCCTTTACTGTAATTCATCCGCCTCCGCCTCCGGCGACTCTGCGTTCTCCTCCGCCCCTCAATACCGCCTATTCCGGAAGTATGTATGAACTGGATCTCCCCTTCTCCCATCTTGTTTAGATTTAAAATTTATAAAATTAAACGCTAAGGTATACTATTCCACTCATCCCATCCGATTTCTTTTGGATCATTGGATGTACTCATGTACAGATGGGAAGAGCAGATTTCGGAGTGTTTTGTATATTGTAGTGCCAATTGCATTTGGGTTGTTGTTGGTGGTTGTTGCTATCGTCATTTTCAGGAAGAGAAAGCAAAAGTCAGGTGAATTGGTTTCCGAGGAAAATGAGTATAGTGGTGGGGCAGAGTGTCTGCAATTCAACCTTGCCGCCATTAGAGCGGCGACTAACAACTTCTCCGATCACTATAAGCTTGGTCAAGGTGGGTTCGGCCCTGTTTATAAGGTAATTGTAATTCTGCCTTTTAACGTTTTAAAGTAGGCCCGTCGCCATTTAGGTAATTGTAATTTTTTTATGAACTGCTTTGACCATATCTTCATTAAGTCTAGTTTACTCATACCAAATTTCAGCTAAAAAATCAATCAGGAAGACATTCAAATGAATTTTTGAAGATAACTGCGCAGTTTAACAACGCAGTACATTTCATAAAATCATTTGATTGTCTTCCCGGTTGAATTTTTATCTGAAATTTGGTATGGGTAAACTAGACTTAATGAAGAAGATGCTCAAGAAATTTCATTAAAAAATTCCACCGGGAACCTCCCCAAATGACGATGAGCGGACATAGCCTCCTATATAAGGGGTGATTTGCACTTTTTAAGTTAGTTCGAACTTCGAGGACCTATTTGACCCTTCAGCCTTTAAAGTACGCTGACTTTTTCCATGCTATGAGTTTTTGGTATCATGATTCACACCCTATTTAGTAACACAAAAATTGGCTGATTCTACTGAAATTTATGAAGTTCTGGATGAAGTGCCTGTATTGGCTGATTCTGCAGATTCATGAAAAACATATATTTAAAATATTTGTTATTAATAAATTAAATAAAAAATTATATGAAAAATAGCTAAAATGATCTTCCTACGGTAACTTCAGCCAACACAGCCAAAAAAGTAACTTCAATCTTACTTTTTCTGTTTATTACAAAATTCAGCACGCGAAATCAAAAATTACGTGTTTGGTGAAAAAGTTGGCTGATAAACCTGATAAGCCAAAAAAGGAGTCACTAAACGGGCTCTTAGTTTATACCCTTACGGCATGAATGATGAGAAAGTTGGAGTAATAATGACCTAAAATTAAAACCGGCAGCGTGTAATCCATGTGGACGAAGGTTACATCTCCACACGATTTTTATATAAAATTAACGATTATAAATTTAATTCATTAACAAATTAATGAATTATCGCTAGTATGAGTATATATATATACTAGTGTATGGAAATCCATAAAATTTGTTTAATTTGGGCACCGTAAAAATCTCTTTTAAAAGTATTACAGAGGGTGTATTGTATTAGGAGTTGGTGACAAATTTTTAAAAGTCCATGAACTTTAAAAATTTAAGTGTATTCAATGTGGACTTTTAAAAGTCTAGGTGTACTCAATATAGACTTTTTAAAGTATTTAAAAGTCTAGGCATATTTAAATTTTCATTCATTTATAAGGAATTCAAAAATCACGAATTCTCGTGGACTTTTAACTCATTTTTAGTACATTAATTCTCTGCAATTGTCTCTTCTTTTATAAGTTTTCTTTTACATTCACACAATTGTTAATAAAATGATTGAAAAAGTAAAAATTGTAGTTGAAATTTGAGTCTTATAAAATGAAATGTTGTGGATCACACATTACTTTTCAAACAAGCAAATACGACACATATTTTGTGGCAACCCCAAAAAAAAGACATGTAAAATTGGATGAAAGGATTAATTAAGCCCCAAAACAAGTAACATGCGGAAAACATCATTTGTATATACTTCGTATACAACATGGGCCCTTTCAATACATATTGAAGATGATTCAGATAAAAATATTACACATTATAATTGTTTGTGGAGCTGGATCGCAGTCTCACTTGTGCTTGCATGAGGAAATTTATTTGAAAGATATTTAAATTACTCGCTCAGATAACTATTGTCTATGACATGGGTTTGCGAGTCTAGAGGAAACTATGCAGTTCACACAGGCAACAACGGACCATAAATAGACATTGGTTTGCAAACTTGTAAGTGTACTATGACACAAAAAAAACAATGTTTGAGCACAAACACCAGTGTTAACAAAGTCTGCAACTTTGTGTACATCAAACATTATTGTTAACACATTAACTGGCATAGAGCAACATTATTCTTTGTTGTATTTCTTAAAAAAGTATTGATTAAAGCACTTTTGAGATTCTGAATATATCTTGATTTGTTCTCCTATCAGTCATTGCGGATCGACTAAACCTGTTGTTGATAATCTTCGAAAAAATAGCTAGTGATAGTGATTTATGAGACGACAATTGTTAGTGGCAGTGGCTTGTAAGACGTCTTAGGGCTGCATCACTAATATTGTCAGTTGTCACATGCATATTAAAACTTCAGAGTGATTCAATGCACACTTTTTTGGGTTATTTCTTTCATCTTTTTCATGAGATTGTCAAAACCCATACTTTTGGTTTGGCTAGTCTTTTTAAATTTGGTATGATGGTCTAATCCAATAAGATCTAATATCATGTACGTAGTATATTTTACTAAGGTTTAAGTCTACTTTGGTCTGATGACATTACATTTGTTTTTGTTGGTTTAGCTTTGGTATTTGATTCAGTCTAATTTATAGTGAAATAAATCAAAGTCAAAAGATCTTTTGCAATGTCCTTTCATTATTTGGCTCTGCATGATTTAGGGGGTGCTCTCAAACGGGGAGGTCATAGCAGTGAAGAGATTGTCCAAAAATTCAAATCAGGGAGAACTTGAATTTAAGAATGAAGTGATTTGCGTCGCAAGGCTACAACATCGAAACCTAGTCAGGCTTCTAGGCTTTTGCCTTGAAGGAATAGAAAGGCTTCTCATTTATGAGTTCCTTCCCAACTCAAGTCTTGACCATATGATATTTGGTAAGTATAGTTTTTGGAAACCTCCTAAGTGATGGACAAAGATATTTTTATTTGAATTTAAAACCTTAAAGGATTAGTTGATTTAATATGTATGTAGATGCAAACAAGCGCAGAAGGTTCGGTTGGGAGACTCGTCATAACATAATTGTGGGAATAGCAAGGGGACTTATTTACCTTCATGAAGATTCTCAACTCCGAATCGTTCATCGTGATCTCAAAGCTAGTAATATTCTTTTGGATGACAATATGAATCCTAAAATATCAGATTTTGGAATGGCAAGGTTATTCGAATCAGACGATCAAACAAGAGACGTCACTCATCGGATTGTCGGCACCTAGTAAGTTCAAAAATTCCAGTTTTATCCTCTGCTTACGCGTTTAAATAAATTTTAGAGCACTTTCAGAAGAATTAGTGCCATTTCGTTACATGTTTTACAATTTTATCAGACGACTTTATCATACACAAATTTTTTAAAGTTCATGTAGGCATTTGATAAATAATCAAAAACTTAATTACTAAAATTAGGTGCATTTTTTGGTGAGTAGGTTGGATTGAATGACGGACAATTTAAACTGTTTCCATAAAATTTATTCTCTACATTATTAATCACTCATATAAAATAGTGCAACGTATGCACTATACCTTGTCGCTATTTATCTTTTCAATAATTGTGTGAATTCATTAAATCAACCATTTTTACCTAAAACATTTTTTATTATCGTCAAAACGGCTTTCATTAAAATAGAGCAAACATACAAGACAATATTCAGACAGTTATTACATATCCGATCGCAAGCCCTAGTAATAGACTTAAAGTTAGCTACCCATACAAAGCAACCTGACTCGCTAGACACAAAACGGGCAAGAATAAGCCTAAAACGATCGAAAATGAAGCACTGCCTATCAAATGTTCATAAAAAATCAAAATACTCCAACTATACCTACTCGAACTGAAATAAAAACAAGTACTACGTACTAAAGGAAAAATAATGCGAAAATAGAAACTTTCCCAAATTGCTTCTTCGTTCGGAGGTGGTTCCGGAGGCAGATGAGCTGCTGTAGTATGGGAGAAGAGAATTTCGAGCCCTGGAAAATTCGTCTGAAACCCTATCCTTCTTGCGCTCGCCAATTTGCTTCTTGAGGTTTATCATTGAAATCCATGTCCGAGGTGCAGAAGAGATCTCTATCATGATGCTGCCTTTGTAACTAATTGCCTGTAAAATTCCTGAATCAGCCCGTCCAAGAAAGGATTCCAGACCGGTACGAATCACTGGTGCAAATAATAGCCTTCCTTGGATCCAACCGTTCGAAATTTCCCTGGATCAAACCGTCCAAGAAGGATTTCCAATCGACCGCCGATTGTAGCCGATAAGAGGCGCAACCCAAAACACGCCGGACACCGCCGATTAAATTGACCGCCGGAAAAACAAACCCTAGCCGCCGATTGAGGTCGTGCGTTGGGAGAGCAGCTCGAGAGCTTTTAGCGTTTTTTAGTACTCCGCGTAACTCGGCCTCACCTAAAACATTAATAACTTTAGAAAATTATAGTCGATTCAACAAATATATTCTCCTAAAAAAGATCTTATTAGTAGAATTCTTATTTTGTTCAGCCTAGTTGCGAACAAAATAATTGGTATAGGAAATCAACATACTTCACTAGAGCAATTTACCAAACATTTTTTATTTGATTAACTTTAATTAATTAAGTTTTTTAACAAGACATACCTCTTATTATATGGTCTACAGTCTACACCATACTTACGTGGTCTAGACGATACTCGATCTACACATAGTGTGCACCTATAGCTTGTCACAATATTTGGTTTTTAATGCATGAATGAATCATAAAATGTAGTGGCTATATGGCTCCGGAATATGTTATACACGGTCAGTTCTCGAGTAAATCTGATGTTTATAGCTTCGGCGTGTTATTGCTTGAAATAATCACCGGTGAAAGGATTAAGAGCTTTCGTGGAGGGGAAGATGAACAAAGTCTTGTTGACTATGTAAGCTATGCACAAAATTATGTATTTTACATGCATGCATGCGCGCACGCACACACGAACTCACACACACTCACACGCGCACACACGTACAAGTATATACATACACAAAAATACACTAAAAATACACACACATATATCATACACGCATACATAAGTGATTAATCAAATTTAAAATAATGTACTTTGCAGGCATGGAACATGTGGAATAAAAGGACACCGTTGGATCTAATTGATTCCACTATGCCATCGTTTAGTACTTTCACAAGCGATATAATAAGATGTATTCATATTGCCTTACTATGTGTGCAAGAAAATGTGGGAAGTAGACCAACCATGGCTTCGGTGGTTTTAATGCTTAGTAGCAGATCAGTTATTATGTCAAGACCATCAAGACCCGCATACATTTTTCACTCCATGACGCAACAACATACATCGTCATCGTCATCATCGTCAAGTGCCCACAATAACTCACACTCTACCTCAACTAGAAGTAGTAGCCATGTTGAAAGAAGTTCTCGGAATGAAGTTTCTCTATCAGAGCTAGAAGCTCGATAACCGTACACATCTTTCATTTTGTATAATTTAAACAGAAAAAAGATGAAAGGTTCTCATTAAATACGTAAAACATGATAATGCAATCATGTCGACGTTAAGCTTTCAGGTGGGGGAATGCATGGCATAATGTTGTATTGTTATGATTAGTTTTATTATTTTGTCGTATTCCTTAACTGAAATAAATAAATATCCAATTATTATTTTAACATGTTTTTCACGTTTTCTTGTTGGGAGTAATTGTAGGATCAAAGCTAACAATACAAAATTCTAGGCTCCCCCCAGCCCCCCAGACTCCCAAGAGTAAAAAAAAAACCAAATTCCTAGTATTAACGCAAATTCCTAATTTTAAAATAGAAATTCTGAAGAATGCAAAACTTAAACTCTTGCATTAATTTGATAAAGAACTTGGGAAATACATTGAAAACCAAGTGTAATACAAAAGCGAATGACAAAAAATTGAGTTTTTCCCGATTTAATGTCAAAGCTATTGTTTTTCCCTAACCAGGTCCTTCATCTATTAACCACTAGCTGCCGATTCGTCTCAAATCTCATCCCTCGGCCGCCGAATTTGTCTCAAAACCAAGGTTTCATCTCACATCGTCGTCGGCCGCCGCTCCTTTGTCTCTCAACCGTCCGCCGTTGGTTCGTCACTCATCCCTCGACCCCCAGTTTTCATCTCTCACCGTCGGCCATCGTTGCTTCCACTCTCAAGCACCATTGGCACAACTTTCCTCTTCTTCTTATCGTTTTCTATCGTCAATGGGGCTGGCGAATGATGGTGGAAGAGGGCCGAGGCAGTATTGTCTAGACGTGGCAGTGACGTAGAAGGGGCCAGGGAGGTGGTTGGGGGTTGGGAGGGGGCTGGGGAGGTGGCTAAGGGCTGGGAGGGGGCTGGGGAGGTGTCTGATGTCTAGGGGCTGGGAGGGGGCGGTGGAGGTGTCTGGTGGCTGGGGGCTGGGGAGTTGAGTTAGACTTGGGCGGCGGCCGGAGTGGCAGTGGCGGTGGGGTGGCGTTGGTGTGGCGTGTCACTATGGCTGAGTAACTGTGGCCGGTGGTGAATTTAATAAACTCAATTGTTAAAAGGTAAAAGTTTACGTTGAGAGATTTTCTCTCTAGCATCACGCTACTCGTAAACTGCATTTTCCTCGTTTCGGTTGCTCTGCTCCTTCATTGATTCCTTGTCTTTGAGCTTCAAGATTAGTTAGTTTACACTTCCACCTTCCTTGGGGTGTAAAATATCTAATTTTTGAGCTCTTTTCGGGTCTCTTTGTAGCTGATTTGCTTCCCTTTCTTTCGGAGGTTACTGTTCACGCGGTTTGGTCAACGGCAAGTTCTCCTACCTCCGTTGATGATAACCTGATCTGAGCTTGGTTTCAGCTTCCCCTGTCCTTAAAGATCAAGCAAACCATAATTTCATCATCATCAAGCTTGGTTTCAATTTTGGTCCGTACTCCTCTTCCACGCACGTTTTGGGAGTGACTGGTTCTTTTCCTCCTCTGCCTCGGTTTCAAGCTCATGTGTGTAGGGGTGGCTACCACCTAGCTTCCCCTACTCGGTTACCATGCCAAAGGATAAGACAAAAAAGAAGCCCACCCCGGCTCCCACTAAAGCTTCTGCACGGTTGAAGGCCAAAGTACAAGCCAGGGAGGTGGCTGAGCCTACCTTGGACCATGAACATGATAGTGAAGGTACCTCCTCTTCTCATGAGGATGAAGACTACCAACTTAGCACTGAGACCTCCAACACCTCGGAGCAGAGTAATGGAGCTGTTAATAATGAACCGATAGTTGACACTAATGAGGTATTTTCCAATCATGTTTATAATGTAATTGATGAGCCTCTTATAGATGGTATTGTTGAGGAAATTAGTGTCTTTGAAGAAGTGGTTCTTGTACCCATTAATGGTATGGAGGTGGTTGTTGAACCACTTAAGACCATTACTACGAATGGAATTATTGCCTCCCCTGAACTGGTTGCTCTTCCTTTAAAAGGAAAGGATGACCTTGGTACTCTTAAGGAAGCTGCGGTTTGCAGTCCAAATTCCAATGCCGAGGCATTGAAAAACATAGAGGACACTAGTACCTCTATCCAGGCAGCAGTTTTGCCGTTAACTCATGATACTACTTCTAAGTCCACTTTGGAAGTGGGTGATCAACTTTTGGAGGCAAACACAGACCTTGGTATATCTAAGGAAATTGTTGTTTTGGACAAAGAACATTCGGATTCCAATGCCGCGACACAAATTCCTAACGGTGTCCAACCTAATTGGAAGGATACCGTTACTTCCCAACCATGGGTTTCCCTTTTTAAAGACAATAGAAAGCCCGATAAGGGGATGAAACTAAGATACATTCCTCCGGTTGGAGAGTATGTGGACCTTTCTAATAGAAAGATATCCTCCATGGTTGAAATATGGGGATTTTGTCTTGTTGCCTACTTTGATGGCCGGTTTCCAGGATTTAAAATTATACATGAGATGATGAACAAATGGAATGTTCCTTGCCAAGTTAGGTCTCATGATAAAGGTTGGGTTATATTCAAATTCAAATGTGAGGAGGATAGGACTAAAGTCCTCTTGGGAGGACCCTATACTATACTAGGAAAGACTTTCCCTTTGAAACCTCTTTCGGATGACTTGTCCATGGATAGTGATGAATTTTTAAAACTTCCTATTTGGGTCCAATTTCCCCATCTTCCCATGAGAATATGGGAGGAAGATATTATAAGTGAAATTGCCTCTAGGGTTGGTATTCCCTTGGCTACGGATGGAGTTACTCAACAAAAAGTGAGATCTCACTTTGCTAGTCTTAATTGAAATTGATGCCTCTAAGGCACCTCCACTTGAACTTAAGGTAAAACTTCCTAATGGGAAATTTCACACTCAATATGTTAGGTATGAAACATACCCTAACTATTGTTTCCATTGCAAGTGTTTCGGCCACCATGCCTTCACTTGCAAGGTGTTGGCCGAAATTGAGAGAAAGGCTAAGGAAGTTAAAGAGGCAGACACTATGCCTAAGAACATTTCCACTTTGGAGGAAAACAGTAGCATTGCCAGTCCCACACAAAGGAATGGAAAGGAACATGAGACATCGGATCCTCACAAAAATGAGGGCTTTAAAGTAAAAAAAGGTGATCACCCCTTTCTTAGAGTGAACCGGCTTAGAAGGGGTTCTTCTAAATACACCATAGAAGATGAGGACAATGTGATGGATCCTCCCAGGTATGTTGAAACTAACATTGATGAAACTGTCCGGGTAATTAAAACTACCCTTCTTGACACTTATGTGGATGAGGTAGTTGTTGACATGGATGCCGAGGAAGTCCTTAAGCCCATCATTAAGGTTAAACACCGGAAAGAGGTTGACGTCCCTACTATCAAACTAAACCAAAACCTTTGGGTTGTGGAAGATAATGAGCCCGGATTGGCTTTTACCAAATCTTGTTTGGAAGGTCTTCCCGGGATATATGGGCAGAAAGGGGTATATAGGCACTATCTTAACCACTACTTTGAGAAGGGTTGCTTACAAGGAAATACCTTTAAAGTTAAAGACCAAAGAAAGCACATTCCTAATGAAACTAGACTTGTTCATGACATCTGTGATGCCTTTCTTGATGATGTCATTATTAAAGTTGACTTTCATAAAGATAAGGAGCCGGATATATACCTTAGGCATCTTGGGCATGTAAAAGAAGATATCACAAGACTTGACAATTATTTGGAGATTACCTCCAATAACATGAACATGGGAATTAACTTTACCAATGATTGCTTAATATCTCTTCCTGATATCTATCCTATCGATAAAGAATATGGGTTTTCTTCTACTTTCATGGAAGAAGTTTATTCCCTATTCTTGGACAGATTTAAGCCAAGGCCCAAACCTTGGACTAAACCGAGGCATGTTCACAATACTAAGAAAGGGGTGAAGAGGGGAAACACATAACGTTTTTTATGTTTGTGTCCTCTTGGAATATTAGAGGCCTTAATAAGGCCTCAAAACAAATTTCTATTAATTCCTTCATGAAATCCAATAGTGTTCGTGTTTGTTGCTTACTTGAGACTAAGATGTCCATTCCTAACTTTGATAACATGATGGCTAATAGATGGCCTAATTGGCATTCTATAACCAACTTTGATAAGATTGAGGGAGGTAGAATTGCCCTCCTTTGGGATCCTACCTTTGTGAACCTTAATGTGTTAGAAGTTGATAAACAACACTTACATTGTGAGATCAAGTGTAAGGTGACCCAAAACACTTTTCTTGTCACTTTCATCTATGCCCTCTATACGGTTGTGGAGAGGAGAAGCCTTTGGGAGCACATTACTAATCTTGAACCCAATATTAACATCCCTTGGCTTGTTATGGGTGACTTTAATTGTGTGGGCAGCCCTAATGAGAGAATTAGGCCCTCCCCCCCTCGGCATACTACTTACAACACCTTAGTAATTTCAAGATACAAGCCAACCTAATTGATACTGCTTCAACCGGTGAGTTCCTCACTTGGAATAGAGGCTCTCTTTGGGCTAAACTTGATAGGGTCCTCATGAACTCTTTTTGGTCTCTCAATAACATATCTTGTAATACACATTTCTTTGAGATGGAGGTTGATTTTGACCATTGTGTTTCTCTTGTCACTATTGGCCATAATAACCTTGTTGGGTCTAGGCCTTTCAAATTCTTTAACATGTGGCTTAAGCATGATGCTTTTCACACCATTCTTACTACGCATTGGTTTCAAGATATGTATGGTACGCCCCAATTTCGACTGGCTCGCAAACTTAAAAGGCTTAAAGACCCTCTTAAAGAGCTTAACTTCAATGCCTTTGGGCATATCTCCTTTAAGGCTAAAGAAGCTAAGAAAGAATACAAAAGAGTGCATGCTCTTTTGTTACTTTCCCCCTTGGATGATTCCATTAAGCAGGATGTTGCTTTGGAAAAAAAGAATGCTCTTTACCTTAAAAAGGCCGAGGAGGACTTCTTTAGGCAAAAAGCCAAAACTAATCATTTATTCCAAAGTGATCGGGGCACCAAATACTTCCACTCTATTGTTAGAAAGAATGCTGCCAGGAACTCCATTACGGCTATTAAACTGCCTAATGGGGATTCCACCACCTCCCAGCATCAGGTGGCTTGTGAATTTGTTAGGTTTTACACTGATCTCTTTGGTACTACCTGTCCAAATGTGGATATTGATCCTAACATTATTCTTTCGGGAAAATGCCTCGATAGTAATAAAGCCACTAACATTATGGCCCCCCTTTCTGACATTGAGATTAAGGATG